GCAGGAAGAGGGTTGAAAGCCAGAATTTGGGGTTTTGTTTTTACTCTCATCTTTTCGCATGGCAAGTTTTACTTTTATTCAGTTGTATATGTCTTTTCTATCTTCCCAACCACACACGCCACCATAACCCCCCCTCTCCAGGCTTAGTGACTGTTATTGATTTAATGTGCCTCTCTTTACTGAAACTAATAAAGGAACCCTCAACAAAAACCATTCATTTCCTCTTCCTCTTGGACCCCATTCACAGATTTTGACAGAGCAGCAGAGACTTCAGTCAGAGCTGGAGGCAGAAAAGTCTCAGCTGCAAAGACAGCATCAGCGCGAGGTGGAGGAGATGAAGAAGAACTTCCAGGTGAAGAGAGAAGCTCTCCAGGACCAGCTGGACGACCAGGTCAGTGACCCATTTGTTCCCTCTGGTCTCTCGAGAGGCACAAGGACTCGGGGCTATTCTGCCATAAGCTGACAAAACGCCATTTTTTCGTCTCAGCAGTTTCGAGAAAAAGAGTTGGGTTTTTTTTGGTCTGCGAAACCATTTAAGAATAGAGTGATTCTGAGATTTGAATTCTAATTTATACAAAAACTGGTTACTGTTTCACTTTGATTTTTTCACACTAGTAGTGTAACTGATCGGGTTTTCGATTTAGCAAATAAAAAATATTGGTGCCAAAATGAAAAAGGGCGTTTTGTCAGCTTTTGGCAGTATTCTATTGTAATCATTGTGTCTACTGTTATGTCTGTACTTACTTTACTTTATCTTTCCTCTTGTGTTGTTAGATGTTGGGGGGGTGGGTTTAGCTATTTTCAGTCAAGTACAAGGTGGCTGGTTTGTGTTGTTGATATGTCATTTTTACTTTCATATCAGTGCTTGTCACAGCGAGTGGTTTTTGTTGTTGTTCTTGTTGTTCTGTGGGTGAGTGGTTGGTGGGTGCTCTTGTGTGGTTTGCTCCTTCTTTCCTGTCGAACATCTATCGTCCTTATCTCTCCTCTTTCTTTTTTGTACTTTTTATTCTCTTGCAACACCTCTAATCTTTGGAACTTATATAATGGATTTGTGTTGCAAGTGCCGTAAAATTTTTATTTAAATTTTACTGGGTTCTTATTGTTCTTGCTCCTCGTGGATGATTCTGAGAGGTAAAGAAGACGTTGACAGTCATTTCTAGAATAGAACAAAAGAAGTTAAAAAAATGATTTTTCTGCCTATAAACTGTAGAAAACATCAGTTCATATGAAATGTTGGAATACACAAAACTTTTAAGGCCTGCTTATCAGTTCTACCAAAGAACCCGAGACAGTCCCAGACGAGGCAGTGAAGGGGTTAAGTATTGTCTGTTGGTGGTTGGAGGGTATTCTTGGAAGGTCTAACATTTTTCTTACATCTCTATTGTTTCTATCTGTACATCTTACTTTTTTTCTCAGGACTAAATTACCATTTCATCATGTTTTGATGCACGTTGTCGTCCCTCAAAGGGATTAAAATCATTTTCCGACTCTGTTGGATGAAAAAAAACTTTTGCTATCAAATGTGTCATTGGTTCTCTTCACAGGAGGAAGAATTGAAAGAGAGAAAGACTGACATTGAGAGAAGATCTGCTTTTGTGGACAAGTCTTTGAAAACATTGGAATCTCAGGTAGTTTTTGACTTCTTGTTTGTCAGTGTAAAAAGAAAGTCCTGAAGATTGATTTTTACATGATGGTTTTGTTCATTTTGCTGCCTGAAATAAGTTTACCATAGAGACTTTTTTACATTGTGTAAATTTTATAAGTTTAATGAAGCCCAGTTTTCTTTTTGCAGTCATTTGATTATTTTGAGAATGTTTTCCAGTCTAAATGTTGATTTGTAAGTTTAAAGTTTTCCCGAAAGTTTAGTTGTTTTTATGTAGACCTATAAAATATAAATGCAAAATGCAAAAGAAAAGATGTATTTATATATGATTAGGCACCTTATTTCATTGTTTGATACTTTAGTCAAATTCTATTTTGTTTTGCTGAGCTTGTTTCTACATTGAAAATTTGATATATTTATAAATTTTTATAATACAGATAGTGCTTCGCTTTTATTTTTCTCTTCTTTATCAATGATGATAGGGTTCGCCCCCTTCTTTTTATTTATTTTTTTTTTTTTAGTTGTATCACGCATTCCTGAATGCAGCCTATGAAGTATCAGCAATAGTAAGCGTCATTCTAGAATTACCTATGTTAAATTTCTGGGAATTTCAAGATAAAGCCATGATTCAAGGAAAGATATCAAGGGGCATCTTACTATACATTGTCGCTCTATTTCGTTATTCCCCTCTAAGTCTTGAATTGAAAACTAGCGAGTGACCAAGTCATGGTTCTGATTTGGGTACACTTTTTAACCCTTTGATCCCTGACCTCCTGAGGCTACCGTGCCCCTCTGCTTGAGCTCCTGAGCGATTCACACCTTCATTCATACGATCGTCAGAATCGCCTTCCATATCCCTCTCAGGATAGTCCTCTTCATCACCAGCATCTAATTCAGAAAGATCTTCAAAATAATCAATAACATCCTGTGTAGTAAATTATGTTTTCTGTGTGCATTTTGCCCGGTTTGGACCTCAGAAGAGAATGGTTGCTTTCTTCCTTTTGATCAGTCCTGCCTAAGACGGCCACTTTTCTCCTTGACAATGGGTGGCCGTTTTACACAGGTTTTACTGTATGGCTAGGGCTCAAAGGGTTAAGAAAGAAAATTTGTCAAAACTTCAATAAATGACATAAGCACTTGCGGAATGACTCTGATAATATGGTGTTAAAGGTAGCCTTTTTTTTCTCATGAAGTTTCAACTTTAATGAAGCCTTTGTATCATGAAATGTTTTCACAATAAGCTGAAATCCGTATCACTGTGTCACTGTTTCACTGTGTATGTGCACTCACCTGCATGTTTGTGTGTGTGTGTAACAGGAGAAGAAGCTTGAGGAAAGGAGACAGAAGCTAGCATCAGATCGGCAAACTTTGGAGCTGGATCATGATGTGAGTAGCAGGGCGATATTTGCTGTTCTATTTATGATTTTTATTTACAAATTTCTACCTCAGAATTACAAAGTTCTATCTGTTTAGAGAAGTTAGATGTCAAAGTTTTTTATTTTCACTAAATGCCAAACTTTTTCAAATGCAGTTCTTTGAATATCTTGATAACGATTCCGAATATTCTTACAATTTTGATAGAGCAGATAGATTCTGACCTCATGGTCTTAGTAACTCAAAACGGCCAAAAATGTCAGATAGAACTTTGTAACTCTTAGGTAAGGAAATATCAGGGATTTGATGTGTTCACATTATTTTTAAAAAAACTATTTCAGCCTTTATGGGGTTAGTGCAGGTGGCTGGATGGTGCAACTTGCAGGTGTCACGACGTAATGAAATCAGGCGCTCGTCAATTTTAGAGCATATGGAGTTATTGGTTTCATCTTAAAGCCTGTTCATTTGCCTTGCTTTTGATTTTTTTAAATATCCATTTTCTTGGATACAAGTCAAGGTATTGGTGATTGAAGGAGGTGGGGACACCTGGTTTCAGGGGTGAAATTAATGAGAACATGGCCGCCAAAATTGAGATATTTTCTTAGCTTGAGAGCCCGTGGAAACAGCAAATTTACATTTTGTATGCCCCTGATTGACGTTTTTCAGTACAATCCACACTGAAATGTGTTCTATAATAGACATGAAAGGTGTTGAACCTAAAACCAAAAATTCAATAAAAATTTCCAAACCTGCATAAAAATGCCAGTTTCTTAACTTTCATTATATTGACGAGCACCTGATTTCACCACGCTGCCTCACCTATGTGTACGTGGTGAAACACCGAACCAATGTGCCTGGATCTGGGCAATAAAGATGTGTCTTCTCTTCTCTTATCCTAATATCAGAGTTAGCACTAAGCAGTCGATTTGTTGTTTCAGGATGCTCTGGGTTCCAGAGTGACCTCCCTCGGAGCGGCCGAGCTGTCGCGGATGCGGGAGGAAAAACGCCAGCTGCTGTCGGAGCTGCAGGAGGAGCAGGACCAGTTGGAGCGGGCCAGGCAGGAGAGGAAGGGCCTGGAGGGGGACGTGGTGCGCCTCAAGATGGCACGCGACCAGCACAACAAGAAACTGACGTTAGTTGTTTGATCATTGCTCTTACTCTCACTCTCTCTCTCTTTCTCTCTCTCTCTCTCTCATTCTCTCTTTTGCTCTCTCTCTCTCTCTCTTTCTTTCTCACTCTCTCTCTCTCTCTCTCTCTCTCTCTCTCTCTCTCTCTCTCTCTTTCGCTCTATCTCTCTCTCATGGGTTAGAATCCAGTCTGGGGACTGACGGTTGTATCCTTGGGGAAAGTGTTTGAGGGCTTAATCAGCTGCTTGCGCTATATACTTCCTGGGAAGCCGAGAATGTTTCTGAGTGTTCTATGATATGCTGGGGTAATAATATAGTGTAAAGTGCCTAGAGTTTGCTGTCGAGCAGGAATATGTTCAACATAAATGCTATTTATTATTATTAAGTATACCACAAGCAGCTTTTCCCTGTAAAAATGGTAGTCATGGACAAAATGGAACTTGTCAAACAACAGATCAAAACAGGTGAAGTAGGAAAAATTGAAAATGGTGACCAGTGTCCCTTTTACCCTGTACTTTTCATGTACAGATGAAACTGTCGAAGACGGCAACCCATTGTCAGAAGAAAAAATGGGTATCTTAGACAAGTGGACACTTTACACAGTGTCATTATGGTGTTAAAAATTTGCAAGGGTGGAAATGGGAAGTGGCTGTTTTGTACAGACGATTGTCCTATACAGGTCAGAGCAGCTTTGACTATATGTGGATGTTCATGTGTGTGTGTGTGTGCAGGGAACTACGCGAGAGAGTGGAGAAGAAGGTGAAGGAGTTCGAGGGTCTCCAGGACCGGTTTTCCCAGGCTGCCCATCAGCAGACAGCCACGCCCCCGCCAGCTGCCAGTGAAGGTCTAGGGGACCACATGTCTGTCGGGGATTCACCGGCCAAGTTGACCTTGGGCGACCTCCAGTCGAGTCCGTCATACGGTCATGCTCGCTTTGGAAGAATAGACAGCGATGATGATGAATCTCTATTGGGTGAGTAAACATTCATGTCATTTTCGACAGACATTTTTGGGGGTTTTTTTTAACTTTGCTCTGTAAACTTTGAAGAGAAATATCTTGAAAGAATATGGCTATTGAGAGTTGAGAGCGTTATTACCTCACAGTTCTGTTCTTTCAATTAGCAGGCGTATCTTATTCTCTAAGTCACTGTGGAGTTTTAGATGGCAAATACATTGCATCTAATTTTAGTCTTAGTTTGACAACAGCAGCATATCTAATGTTAGTAACACCATATTGAAAGAATTATTTTATAATGTTATTCTATTCTTTGAACTAGCTGGCCACGGGGGTTCTAGTGAAGCTAAATAAATTTTCCTTTAGAGAAGTTTCATGATGATAAATAAGCATTTTACTGCAATGTTTTTACTTCGAACCTCAGAAGGGGCATTCTTACACAGGAATTGCCTGAGTAGTTTTTGTGTGGATCGCACGAGGGTGCCACTCTGTCTATTGTCTTTCCATTTCTCAGCCCTAAAACTAAAGGGGCTATATGGAAAGGATGTGCTTCTCTTTACACAAACTCTCAGAAGTTTTTATGTGTTTTGACCTCTTCACTCCATTCCATCAAATAGGGGTTTTATGTCATTGTCCCTAAACATCACGATCGCATCAGTTAGTGCTTGGTAACAGGATAAAAAGGGACCATACGAAAGTATGAGGTTTGTCTCTCAGTAATCATGTCGTCAATGTAAAGTGCTCAGAGCTTATACGGGATAAAACAATCTATTATTTTTACTTGAAATAAACAATAAACACATATTTTTTCTCTCTCTCTCTTTTTCAATTCCAGGTTTGAAAAAGGTGAGTGTACTGTGGTTTGAGCCGATATAAATTCCTTGAGCAGCTGGTAATTTTAGAAAATTAAAAATAATGATGATGATGATGATAATAATAATGATAATGACAAGGATAAGACATATTAATAATGGTAATTGATTTCCTTTATCAGTTTGTCTGAGAATGCTTGACTGGCTTTAAAATCAAAAACGAATTTTCCTTTACACTTATTCTAAAATTTACCTTTACAATTCTTCTAATACAATAAAATCCACACATGTGGGTAGGAAAACTCTCATTGCTTCTGTCTCTGTCAATTCCCACACCCCTACCATTCTCTCTCTCTCTGTCTCTCTATCTCTGTCTCTCTATCTCTGTCCCTCCCTCTCTCTCTCTCTCTCTCTCTCTCTCTCTCTCTCTCTCTCTCTCTCTCTCTCTCTCCCGTACACACGGCAAGCACACATAGAATAGGAGGTGTATGACAACGCACTCGCTCAATCTTAACACAGCAGATTTAGGACACAGAGATCAGTTCAATACTGGGTCATGCGATCACACAGATTGTGCCACGACGAGACACAGGCGCTGGTATTGCATTGCACGCGAAATTAAAATGCAAAAAAAAAAAAAAAGAAGACGTACACATGTGTAGGTCTGAGAGGTTTAGGACGACTGCGACGCTATAACTGAAACTCAGCGATTATAATAAAGTGAAAGACAACAGCAACAAAAAAGCCGAAGAACTCTTGAGGGAGAATCTTTCTAATGTGATGAAAACAGTAGCGAGAGGATGTGTGCCCAAACGGCTCAATAAATTAACAGCCCGTAATCGCGTTCTTGATTTACAGAAAAATCAAAAGGTCCGCGTGCACGCACACACACATACGTACACGCACACGCAAATATGTCTGCAAGCACACACACGTCTGCCAGCACACACACACACACACACACACACACACACACATAACACACACACACACATACACACACACACACACACACATACCTCCTCCTAGGAATAAAAAAGAACCCGCAATAATTTCAAATAAAAAAGAGATGGCGTAAAACTTGTTCTCTTTTTCCATGACCTTTTTTCTGTCCATAAGACGCAGTGTATTGGCACACTGTAAAACCAAAACAACAAACAAAAACCAAAAGGGTTATTAAGAATTAGCAGGATATTCAGTCTTATATTTTTGCATGAAGTCAATATTTTCAGCTCTGTTAATTACATTAAATGAGGACAAGGAATTTTTTCTCCCAAGAAATGATTTTCTGAACTTTTTTTTTACGAGTAGGAACTAATGCAGTTTCTAGGACACTTGAATCCACTTAAAGGCTTTTCACATCTTGCTCTCACTGGAAAAATAGAAGACAAACGAGACAGGGCTAGATCCAGAGAAATCTATAATTTGGAAAACATGAACAGATGGAAGACGGGAAAATGCATCATGCTGATTTACGAGCCTTCAATCTCAGAAATGAATGGAGAACCATGTCGCCGATGTCTGTCTCAGATATGGAACTTAATGATGATTGCTGGTATAGCTGGGGACAACAATCCGGTATGAATTATTTTATCAAAACAGGAAAACAATTCCCTGTAGTTATCACAGTGTGAGGGAATTTGAGCAGAAGATTGTTTTTCTGTTTTGACAATCCAGCTTATTCATGGGTATTTGGGAATCCACAAAAAAGGAGAGCAAATTGGCTGGACAGAAATATAGCCAAACCTGCCCTGGTAATTTGATGTAAATAATCACGTCCACAGGTGGCGCAATCCCCTGATGGTGGGATTGGGGAGGG